TAAAATAAAATAAAATAAAAGCAAACCTAATCCATGTATATTATAATATGGTTACTAAACTATCTATTATAAAAATTTCCCAAATTCCATTGCTATTTCCGCGACGAAAAATATTATCCAGTCAAAATTTAAACATTTTAGCGAAGTTAATACAAATAAAAAATAAAATAAAAAATAAAAAAAAAGCAAACCCAATCCATGTAAAATATTATATTGTTAATATACTATCTATTATAAAATCTTCCAAAATTCCATTGCTTTTTCTGGGACCAAGAGTGTTGTCCAGTCAAGTTAAACGCGTTAGTGAAGTTAACAGCGCGAGGCTGTGAATGAACTTAAAGGTCTTAAAGACAATACTGAAAAATTTTGATCGTTCTGATTTTGAAGAGATTATAACTTAAATACTTAAGTTTTATTTTTTTATATTTTGTAAAACTTTAATAATGTCGAATTAAATATTAAAATTTAAAATAAGCAAAGTGGATTAAAAAAAAATATATATATATAATATAAATATAATACATTAGTAGAAATTAGTGATGTATTAATTAAGATATTTTCAGTTAGTGTGTCATTCCTATTAGAAAGTTATATATTAGATTTTCACCTTGATTTTAGCGCTAACATATTCATATGACATACTAATAAGGAATCTCGGAAATTTCGACCGGCCAACATTAAGCCTTCATCTTTAATATAAAAACTTAATCTTAGTCAAATTTCTTTAAAAATCTTAGCATATATTTTTTTAATGCAAGAGAAATGGTTCGACAAATACCGTTCAAATTCAACTACGGAATCAATTTCATTTCTAAATCTCCATAATTCCGCACGAGATGCAGTTAGTCTTTTGAAGATCATTTGTCAGGCTGTCGTCAGTATGACAGAATGTCAAGAACGCCAGGCTGGCCTAATTATTTTTTTTTTTTTTATATATAATATGAGCCGGAAATCCTTAAACAGCTCAATATCCACGCTCGCCCTTAATATAATTTGCATACATAGTCCTTGAAATCCTCTCTTTAACACCTTTGCGAAATTTTCGCTTTCGCTTTTAGATTTCGTAGTTGTAACTTCGTTTATTATTTTTATTTTAATTTCCGATTTTTATGTTTTTGTTATTGCGTAGTTTTAATTAATTAGTGTTTATATAAATTGGCATTTACTTAGTTTAATATATTGATATAACGAAAGTGTAGAGCGCCGAAGTTGAGGCAACACTGATTAATTTGATAATATTAAATAAATACTTGTCACAATTACTTCATTTTTACTCAATAATTATTCAATTAGTACCTTCTGTTACATTTACAAAATAGTTTAAAAATACATAAACGAAAGAACTGAAAAAAACAATTTATTGAAAATTCATCCATTGATTAACATATTTGTCTCTTCGCTAACGCCGTACATTTTATAATATAAATAATTATTTCTAATGAAAAAAGAAATTCAGAAGTGCTATCATAAGATAACGAATAATTATTATGGTGAAGCGTTGGTCGTTACCACACCGTGATCAGAGGAACCTTATCAGATGGAAATTTCTGTTGATGAATAGAAGGTTAGATATCACCAAGAATTCTCATACATCCTTGAAATAATTCCATGTGAATGAAAAAGTTTACATGAATTGATAATGGTGAATCATTCAAGGTGATTATAATAACTTTTTCAAATACTAATCTACGCAAGTTCTATTTCGATTACTTTAAATTAAAAATAATATCATGACCGTGTCCAACTCAAGATTACGATCGTTATTTTGAAAAATCTCATCATCTCTTTTGTAATCTATAAAACGTTCTTTGTTTTAGCTTGATCAATTCTAAGGGATTGAATGTAACAAGTAGGACATTCTGCATAATTAGCGATATACAGTACGCTTCTGATGATGATGACATAATAGTATTTTGCTGATCAAAATAAAGCTCTCCCAAAAATTAAAGTGCTTTAGTTAATCTTATAGGAATCATTAATACTTATTGTAAAAAATCATTTTGTAATTCAATCAAATGTTTCAAAATAGCGCAAAGATAAATTCAGTATTCCTTTGGCTTGACAAAGGTACGTGCAATGTGATATGACAAATTGATATCCGGTTTGTTTTTTGAAGCTCGTAATAGTGTTTCATCGAGGACTGTAAATTTGAAGATTCTCTTTCTTTAGTTTTCTTACACGAGGTATTAAATAAGGCGCAGAAAGATTATAAACCAATAGTTTCAATGAATATCGATAACTTTCTTAACCGTTCTTATAAATTTTGAAAATAATATAAATACTTTCATTATTCTAATCGAATAACATTCATATTAAAAACCAGAAAAATTTTTAAATCATACCCAAATACACATTAAAAATTACTACGTAAGGATTGCTTTATTTATGTATTAGATGATGACAAGGCTTGCCAAAACAGTTATAGGAAAATGTATCAAATAATTTCACTTTTAGCAATTCAGATAACTGATTTATTTTTAAACTTATTATTGTAAATATAGTCACTCAGTTGACAAGTATTCACACAGCCTACAAGATTTGTTTATTTATTAATGTGCACCTGATTCAACGGTCGATGATGTTTAAGGAATTCGCTGTTGTTGGATGTATTGTGTATGAAATCAATTATCATGATGGTAGTAACGGTGTACAGCATATGCACGAGATGTAACAAAAAGATTACGGAATATTTATACTGCAAGAAAGATAAAAGATCAAACCTGTTGATCGAATTTTAAATCTTACTTTTAGAAATTTATCATCAATTTCATATCGTATATTACATTTAATTTTTCTTGTATTACTGCATCCCAACCAGCACTTGATTTCCTTCAACAAATGATCAAGCGGCCATGGATGCCGAAAATTACATTATGACGCATATTCAAAATGATTAGGAAATTCTTAAGAACATTCTTTGTTCGGATGAGAAATACTTTTTATTTTTTTACGTTTTTATTTTTAATAAGATTTAACAAAAATTTTACGGTAATGTTTTATTCGTTATTTTATTTAATGACGGAACAACTTCCATTGATGAAACAAGCAAATAACAACAATTGATGAAAGTAAGAATTATAACGGAAACGTAACTAATTTGTGCATGAAATTACAATTGTCGGAGGCTAACATAATATTAAAGTGATTGAGGATGAGAAGAATCAGAAATAAGCAATATCTAATCGAAAAATTTCCTAGGTTATGGAGTACATGACTTTAATGTTTTGGAAGAAAAAACGAATAACTATCCATTCCTTTCATTAAACAAAAAAAAAATAATTTCCGTGTATTTAAATATTTCAACGAAAGGAAATTCACAAACTCACACTCTTAAAATGTTTTGGTCAAATACATCAGTTTGCGCTTCTATTAATTCAAAGAACATTGCTTTTGCTGATTATCCCGAATTTATTAATCGATTATAAAAAAAAAAACATTAATTTTGAATTAATCTTTTGTTACCATGTAGAGTAGTAATAGCTAGAGGAAGTGGCAATAATTGCACACGATAAAAGTCAAGGACATGGTCGGGTTATTTTTCTTTTTATTATTCTTATTTAGATCAATTAATTTAATTTACAATATTCTGAAAATGTTCTTCATCTTACTTCTGACTGTTTAAATGATATATAATATATATATTTTGAATACGCTTATCAAATATTAAATAAATGGTTACAACTGATATTATGGGTTAAGACTTCCTTTCTGAACATTTATTTTTCCTTTATTTTCTTTATTAATAATTCGAATAATAAAAAATATGGTGTACATTCGAGAAATAAATTTTGTTATTGTCCTCTACTTTAGAATAGTCAGAAAAAAAAACAATATATGAGGGGTTGCTATTAAAATCGAGTTACGAACATAATAAATCATAGATTTTAATAGCTTAAAATAAGAAATAGTATTTGTTGAATCAAACAATATAAATTTTTAAAACAAAAGGCTGCAAAATAATAAATCTATAATAAAAAAAAAAATAATATTTTGTAATATAAATAGTTTTGCTGAAATCCCCTGAAACTGCAAATTATTATCTTCCAAGGAATCCAACGCCAAAAATGACATTCTAACTGCTTGGTTCTGAACAGACAGTTTATTTTCGAGTTGAATCTCAATTATATAAAATCATTCGAGGTTTTACCAAACGAATATTCGATATGAACCCAACCAACTTCATCAAAAAGTTTTTTTAAAATATCAGGAAAATATGGTTCCATGGTCTGCTGAGGTATTTGAGGCGTTTGAGTATTTGAGGTATTTGAGGTGTTTGAAACATTTGAGGTATTTCAGAAACAAAACGTTTTATTTCCGTTCGAACTTTCTCATCATCTTTAGCTAGGGTTGGATCCGCCCGGTCCAGTCCGGTCCTCAGATTATGGACCGAGGACCGGTCCCATTAACCGATCTAAGACCGGTCTGATCCATCCCTACCTTTAGCATATAGTACGTCGAACGTCATCTCTCTGCAACACTTTCTTAAGCTTCACAAGGATCCGAATACACCTCAAAAAGACGAACCCCGTAGAACCGGTAGGACCGCAGTTTTTTACGGTCTTCTATAATTATGAGATAGACCAATAAGACAGGCAGTCTTTTTTAAGTCCACAGTATTTCAAAAGATCGATCAACATAATTATGTAATTATACATCAATTCTTCCCTCTTTCATTTTTTAGAACTTCATTCTTTCGGTACAAACTGAAAGCAAAGTTACCAAATCGCCTGAGGAACAAGAATCAAAAGAGCCGAGACCTACCTAAAAAAAAGAATAAGTAAAAGTAAAAAACGAAACGGAGATGAAGAATGTTAGAAATGTAAAATAAACTCGACAGAAAATTACGAAACAAGCTTACCACAACCACAAATAGGACCTCCGAAAGAATGATCTAAAATAAGAAAGAAAAATGTTAGAAATGTTAAAGAAATGAATATAGAAACAAAAAAAAATGAAGCGGACAAAAGAAAGCGTAATAAAAACGACCTATCCGTAATCTCCTAAGGAGCCAGAATCGAAAGAGCTGAAAGAATGAAAAAAAATAAAGAGGAAATTGTTAGAATTTTGAAGTAACGAATCGGAGAAAACAAAAGAAACGAAAAAATTGAACAAGCTTACCATAATCGGCTACCGAAAGAACCTATAAAAAAAGAAGAAAATTATATTTATTTATAAGACCGAAATGTAGGACTGATGGCCTTTTAGACCAGACTGAGTAGGACCGAGTAGGACCATTGATCATCTTTAATATTCCCTTTCCCTTTGATTTATTTGAGCTTTGAATAACGCGTTCTTCGCCAGTAATAAGGATCCTATTATCAAAGTTCACCTTTTTAGGTATCGCTGCTTCTTGTGAGCTGTTGTCAGTGGAGCATGAAGCAGATGGGAGGTTTACTATTATATTCTATGGTCCGTAACGTGATTTTAATAGCTTATCTCCAAGATGGTGAATTATCCATTTTTAGATAAAATAAAATTTCGTTGAAGTTGTGAAAGGAAAGAAATAGCAAAATAAAGGAAAAAAGCAATTTGGGCACATCGACAGCTTAACAATTATTTTATAAAGCACGTGTTTCAGGTTAAGCCAAAAATCATATGACAAATAACATGTGACAAATAAGGGTGTTAAAGATTATTATTTTCGCGTTCAACATATTAAGCTATTAAAATTAGTTTTTTATAATAATATTTTTAAACTTTCACAACTTTGGATCCTTTTCATCATTTTTCATTCAGAAATTCTGCAAAAACATTCTAAATCACAATCTCTTTTATGAAATAATTTGATTTTCTTAAAAAGAACTTCAACGATCATATAAAAAAAGCATCTATTTTCATTTTCTTCAAGTTATTTTAATATTACTTAAAAGATAATATAACATGATTTCTCGAATTTTAAAGATTTCAAATTTTTAATGGCTATCACAAACAAGCCCGCCGTTTGAAAAGAGCAGGTGAAATACATTAATAAAAATGAATTGTTCTCTTCATGCAGCAATTGAACAATTATTGGAAACTGAGTCAAACTTCACAATTACTAAACAAAATTTGCTACTCCAAAAGTCCTCATAAAGGATGAATATAATCATATTTGCAAAATAAAGCGTTATCACTCATTGAAGATACTCTTTATAAAGATCTATATCAGAAAGTTCAAGAGTTAGATTTTAAAAATGAGCAACTAATCCGTAAACTCAATCTTTAAAATCAATAATACGACATTTAAAAGATCAAAACAAACATCATTTTTCAACAATTCACTCACTAGTTCAAAGATCATCAACTTATATTAATTCATTATTAAGAAAATAAGAAACAATATTCAGTAAATATAGTTTGAATGGCAACACATTATACAGGTTTTTAGGCGATCAGCTGTAGAATGTATGGAGAATTACCAGATACATTAAAATATTTGGATTTTGGACTTTTGATGAATCAAAATGGCTTGGAAACCTTCTTGAATAACTTCAGTTAAAAGAAACTAATAGTTACATACGCTTCTAGGGATCTTGTTGTTACTTTTAATATCTTGAAAGAATTTATAAGCAAAAGGGCATAAAGATTTTTCATACCAAGTTTCAGATGCTTATTCCACTTACAATTTGGATCATCTTTATTAGTTAATTAAATTCGAGCCTTTACGAATATTAAGAACTACAAAGATTTGGCTGTATAGATTACTGATCTTTTAAAAAAATGTATATGTTATTTAAATATACCAATTGTTAATTTTATTTGTTATATTCTTTCCAATAATAAAAAAATAAAAATATTCGAACTCTTGTAGTTAATTAAATCATTTTTTTATAAGAGCTGATGAGATAGTCAATAAAAAAAATGATGCTTTTGGACCTTAACCTTGGCCATATGTTTTTTTAACTGAGACACATAATTATTTGAATTTTTGTATACTTATTGCCAATATAAATGCGATCAAAACTCATTTTATAGTAACCGGAAAATAGTCGAAATCTACACTTCGATTTTTCATTACGATGGTGTCCGATAATTTTTATTGAGTTTCTTATGATTACAACTAGCTTAGTTATTGCTCTGTCAAACCTACAGGATCGCTTAATAATTTTTGTAAGGTGGGTGATGATCAAAAAAAATCGCTGCTCCACCATAAAAAAAATCGATCAAATATTAGAATCGAAGTATAAACACGAGTATTTAATAAGGGTTATATTTCCGTTAGAAAATGAATTCACTCTATGAATAAATTTTATCCTTTATAAGCGATATTGTTTATCATTGCCAACTGAAGCGTAGTACTTCTTATTATAATACTTTTTATTAAAGAATTTATTCTGAACAAATTCAGCAAACTCAAATTTTCTGCAACAGAATTTTTTTATAAAGTAATCAACAAATAATTACTTTATTTTTGTCATTTATTTTATTGTAAAAAAAAGAGATTGAACATTAATGAAGTTAATAAAGTGATAAGATTGACATAGACTTCTACAAAAAGCAAAGTGTCTTTTGAAAAAATAACTTGACAATTAAACCCATATTGCGCCTTAATATATTTCGTATATTTTCATGATTCATTAGTCAAGTTCTATGACTGTTTTATTCGTTGTTAGTTGAAGATGTTAATAATAAAGAAGTTTACCTTGTTGAATAATTAAGGTTCTAATTGGAACAAAGTCAATAAAGACTTGGAATCTTAAAAATCAATAATACAAAATTTTTAATCTTTTACAACCAAACCAAAAATTGCTTATTTACGATTAATTCCTTATTAAATAGATCGAATATTATTGTGATTTTCATTATTATTCACAATAAGAGCTTTTCCATTTTCCTATGCTTATTTATTATATTATGGGTCATGTTAATTCTAGTATTATTGCTTTAGTTTCAAATTTTGAAAATTTTATCTTTAATTAAAATTAGTTTATTAAAAATAAGTGCATATTGGTATATCCATTTTATTTTGTAAGTTCTTAGTCAGGGTGTAGAACTATCAGTCGAAGACCAGTATATATCCATATATAAAGCTTTTAACAACGTGTTAAATATTAAATCAAAGTAAAAAAAAAAAAATATTTATTTGCTATTTCACGCAAGCTTATTTATTAGCAACAGTTTATTCGAATTGAGAAATATATTTTTATAATTTTAAGACCCAACCGTAATAACTTCAGATTGACCATAATGTATCTATTATATATTTGATGTGTTCTAGTTGCGAAAAGATAAGATTTTTTAATCCTAAATTCTTGAGTTATCAGTCAATTTTTCAATATTCACTGTTATAACTTAATTCTGGCTAAAACTTTATGATTATTTCTGTCGAAATACAAAGTTATGATTGCTAATTCAAATAAAAGACGCGACTAAGTTAACTTAGACTGTGTCATTTCAAGACAAGATTTAGATGATTAGAAATGGTAAACTTATAAATTTTTAGTGATACTTCCAAATGAAATATAATCAAAGATAAAGGCTTCTCCTAACTAAGAGCTATTTTTTTTTTTAACAATCATACGCATTAAATGCCTCAAAAATTGATTTTTACAAATAAAAGAGTTTTTATTCAAAACAATATTCAAAACTATTATAAAAGTTCAACTTATGACTTTGAATTCAAATCTATAAGTTAGTGATAAAAAATTTTCAGGGAACATCTGGCCTGGTAAAGAACATTATATTGTAAACAAATAAAATTATGTGGAACAAGAAGCAACGTACAGAGGGTGGATAAAAGTATCTGCACAACGTGAATTAATGCTAGTAAAGTCATATGACCGCAATAACAAATAGCGTTTACATGACACTTAAGTGTTTATTTATATTATAAAAATAAAAGAATAACAATTTTGTTTTTCTTTTAATAAATTTTTCTTCTCCGAAAATCTAAAAAAAAAATGGTAAAAATAAAGAAGTAACTGCAATGATTTTTCAAGCGGAAAACAATCTTCGTACATTATCTTGGCCAGCTCATAAACCCGATCTTAATCCAATTGAGAATCTTTGAGATTAAGTCAAAAAAGAATCTGAGCTTATAGAAAACCTCTATTAATCTTGCTGATCTTGACTGGTATGTTAAAAAGGCATGGCAAGAAATTCCGAAGCATACTATCGAAAACCTAGTCGATAGTATAGATGCGATGATTGCGGCAAATGGTGACCGAACTAAGTACTAGTTACTTAGTACAAAATGTATATATTAATCAGCTTTAAATAAAAAATTAATTGACCTTTTATAGTTATTGCAAAAAATTTTAAGTTTTATATTGAGTGAAAAAGTGTGTCAATACTTTTGTCCACCCTCTGTATATGCAAGAATGAAGCATCCAAAACCGTTTACATAGAAAGAGTTACATAAAATACTGAAAACAAGCTCGTTAAATATTTTTTTGTAACCATTACCAAAACAGAAATCAGATAAACTCCAGTTAGGGTTAACCACAACATATTTCACAAGGAAAACAACCACAAATAAAACAAGGTTCAAAGCAGCAATTCCTTTTCACCAAGATTGAATGTTTCTCACTAGAAGGAGCTGAGAAAGCAACATTACTGAAAGCTGAAATGACGATAATAAGCATGAAAATGTGAATTTTCATGATGAATTTGTAAGTATTTGAAGGATTAATATAAAAATATTTTTATAATATGTGAATTTTATAAATAGATTCTTGCGGGAATGTAGCTTAAAGATGTGTATTTATAAGTAAATCAGGCAGGATAGTGATACGATTTAAATTATTTGATGGAATGGCTGTCTCTTACCAATGTAATTACAAAATTTCCTCACTTTATATAGCTTTTTTTTAAATATCAGCTTATCCTTAACAGCTTATATTTGCTTGCTGGAGATTCCCATAAAGAGCGTTACATCCTTTACAGTAAAGATCTGCATGTCCTAATTTTGAAGCCCGGCCTTAATTAGAAATAACAAATAACAAAATGTATTTTTTTTTACAATTTAAACAAATTTTTATTATAAATAATAAATAAACAAAAAAGATTAATGAAGAGCACTATGTAATACAAAAATGCTAATTAATAATAAAATATTTTATTATACAATCAGTGGCGACTAAATTTTAACTAAATAATGATTTTTGCCAATATTATAAAAAAATCCGGGCTGGTACATTGAACCCGGACCCGGCCCGGAAAATTCTAAACGTAGTATTTGCCGGCCTGGACCCGGCCCGTTGCAGGCCTCTACTTTACAGCACAGCCTCTCAAATGCTGTAACAAATATTTGCAATCAATCAAACCATTATAAATCCTAAATATAATTGGTTAAAAAAAATTTAAGCTATAGTATATAATGAATTTAATTTGCCCACAGACGATAATTAGTTCAGGCACATTGACCATTCCATTTTAATTTAGTTAGACTTTGTAAGATCAATCCCGGCCAGTTTGCTAATGGGATATTGCTGCTGTATTGGCATTGTTTGCTGTCATGGTAATGTAACTAAGTCAAGAGGTTTTATAAATGTAACTAAGCCAAAAGGCCTTTGTAACATACCTAAGCCATGTTAATCCTTTTATTTCAATAACAAATTATGTATGTAGTAAATAATTAAATAATAGATACTGTTACGTCTAATATAATTCCGCCCGAAATATCACGATTCACGCTTGTAAATCGTGGCTAGTCTTTTTTTGACCAGACGGCATGGCAGGATGGTATTGTTTTATTAAATGAATTCAGAAGGTTTTTATTGAGTAAAAATGAAGTAATGTTGTCATTAAATTT